CACAGTCACAGATGTGCTCATATAGGAGGTGGAAATAACACTAAATAGAATAAATACGGGAAAGGCAGCTAGAAGGGAACAAGTATATAAAGGAGAAATCCATGCTGGAAGTGAAACCGTTGTGAGGGAATTGTGAGAATAATATATAAGGAGCCTGAAAGGAGGGAAATATATCACGGGCATGGAAAGAAAACTCAGACTTTATTAAGATTGAAATATATAATGAAGAAATATCAATAATAACCAACCTGTATGTTTACTCTTCAATCTATAAAAGTCATTATGAAAGTCATCTGTCAATGAATCAAGACTATCCTTTATGAAGGTGTTATGTGGGAACAATAAGGCTTTCCTCAAGTGATATTCTACAGTGGACTTTATCATTTCACAATTAACTGAAAGATGTAGAGAATATATGATCCCATTGTGTGTATTGTTTGTTCTTATGAAAAAGCATTTGCTTCAATAGAACAAAACTTTAACCCTTCTAAGACTCTTTTACAAGGTGTCTGTCATCCGTACTTGAAGATTATTCAAAATTCCTTTAAAGATGTAACAATAGAAATAACCCTGTTAAATAGTCCTTTGATTAGAAACATCAGGTGAATCATAAAATGGGGAACTGTATACTCGCCAAAGGTGTTTATTTCAGCTTAATAGAGAGTCTACCTTTTAAGATCAGTATGGTTCCCAACTCGCCTCTAATTGATAAATTAATTATATTGTCCTTCTTTCTCCATCTCAGGGCAAGAAGTTTGCCATTACTGCAAATATTGCATAATTGTGTCCCTCTGGGATCTACTTCTGACTCTCTGAACTTCTTTTTCCACCATGACCCAATAGCCTATCCCGGAAGATCATTCCACTCCTGCAGGCCCATCTTTTGATTAGTCAATCTCTCTAGGAACCTCCATGTTCAGGAAAGTTAAGGCCAGCCATGTTCATGCCTTCATTCCTCTCTGGGCTGTCCTTCATTCCCCCTCCTACTCTCCCCTCTTCCCATCCCACCTCCAACTTTTCAGCTTCCTTTTATGCATTAGCTTTCCTCATTAAAATGTAAGTCCCTTTAGGGTAGAGTCTGACTTTCTTATTGTGTTTGTACTCCCAGCACCCTGGACAGTACCTGACACATAATAGGCACTTAATTTTTTTTTAAGAAGCAGATAATTGACTCAGTGGATAGAATGATGGCCCTGGAGTCAGGAAGACCTAAGTTCAAATCCAGCCTCAGATACTTACTTGCTGTGTGATCCTAGGAAAGTCACTTAATGTCTCTTAGCCTCAGTTTCCTCAACTGTAAAATAAGGATAATAATAACACATACTTCACAGGATTGTTGTGAAGATCAAATGAGAAAACTTGTAAAGAACACTGCAAACCTTAAAGTGCTGTAGAAATGCTAGCTATTTTTTTTTACTTGATTATACAGGATATAGCATTGCAGTACCAGTTAATTTTGCTGCCATAGTGACCACCATCAAAGCCCAGACAAACCATATCTTTCTTCCTCATGGGCCCCAATGTCTCTAACCAGGACACCCATTTTACTATAAAGCAGGTTCAGAATTGGGCCCCCCCCAACACATTTGCTGGGTTTTCTATATCCCATAACATCCCCACGCAGCTGGCATTGTGGAACATTGAACTGGAATTTTAAAACAAGAGCTTTGTCATCACATCCCTCATTATGAACATCTGGTGGTCCATCTCCCAGAATTTTTGATAAATCAGTGCTACTACCCTAAGAAGGATGAAGGCTCACAATTCTAGCTGCTCCTTGGATCCAGCCTCCAGGAAGATTGACCTGATAAAGATAAAGAACTCTTAAATCTAATCCCAATTTACTTTTTCCAATGCTTTCTTATTCCAAACCCCACAAGTCTTCTAGATCTGACAGTTTTCACCCCTCTCAGAAGGATCTATACAATCTGGAAAAAATTATTCAGGTCTCCCTTAATCTCCCTTAATCTGGACACCTCCTTTCTAGAAAGTCTGAGGGACCAAGGGATTAAAATGTAGGAAGATGCTTTGCTTTTTAATGATATAGAGGACATAAAATTTTTTATACAAGTATGGGAAAGATGCTGCAGAAACTGTACTTTTCAGAATATGTTGTTTTATGTTTTTGTTTTTGTCACTTCCCCCAATACTGCTTAGACTGGACTACTTCCTGACCTCATAAATATTTTTAAGTTGTTTTAGTGAAGAAAGTTGCACTAGAAAATTTTTGAGACCTTGCCACCAAAGGGTTGAAAATGAGCAGTACTTCTTTTATATCAGCTGATTTGTCATTAAATGAATGGGGAGGCCATTCCTGAAATCATCATTGCTTTGGTTTCCTTGGTGCCTAAGGCAAAAAAAAAAAAAAGGCCTACTGTGGGAAATTGATCTCAAAGATTTAAGCAGAATTCCCATTGCCCTTAAGGGAAAATCTTTCTGACCTATCTTTTCTGATTTTTTTTTGCCATACCAAATAAAGAGTCAGAGAAGAGTAATGTCTTATTTAAATTCAGCCAAAAATTATATCTTTTTAAGTCTTGTTATGAGTAAAAAAATTTTTTTTTAATATCTTATATTGTTTGGAGGTCTCAGTACGTTCTAATCCCATGCCTGAATCACAAGATAGATCTGGCCCAGAATAGTTAGGTATGTCTTAGACAGAAATTCCTCTGAAAAAGATCTGGAGATTTTTACTGAACAGCAAGTTCATATCAGTCAACATCATAATACGACAGTTAAGAAAGCAGATGCAGTAAAGGCCTATGGCATCCATGAATAAGAATATAATATTCCTGTGGCTATATTCTGCCCTGATCAGACCACATCTGGCATACTGTATTCAGTTCTAGGTGAGGGTATCCTGAAGAGGGCAAACAGAATAGTCTAATCTAATCAACAAACATTTATTAAGCCCCTACTATGTGTCAGGTGGAGGAATTTCAGTCCATATCATATGAGGATCAGTTAAAGGAACTGGGAATGTTTAGCCTAAAAAAGACAGCCTTAGGTGGGGGTGAGGGAGGAGGAAGGCACCATAATTACTGGCTTCAAGTATATGGAAGAAAGATTAGATTTATTCTATTTGTTCCTAAAGCAACAGAGCTAGGTACAATGACTAGACGTTGCCCAAAGGCAAGTTTAGAATTAATATAAATACCCAGTGCTCCAGGCAAGATTAGATTTGGAATTTTAGCAAGGGTCTTGAACCCAGCTCCTATTGAAACCTACAACTATTCTGCCCTAGCCTCTGTCTTTTCCTCCTCTATCTTCTCCTTCAATTCATAATTTATGAATCAATCAGTCAATCAACACCTGTTCACTAAGTGGCTATTCTGTGCCAAGCATTGTGGATATAAGTACAAATAAGCAAACAATCTCTACTTGCAATGAAAACAAATATATACAGAACACTTGCTAGGCTTGGCAAGGTCATAAAAATTAAATGATACTGTCCCTGATCTCATGGGGGTGGGGGAGGTGAGGTATATTACCTATACAACTAGCTATGATGTGAAATAGGATATGGTTCATTCAAGAGAGATACAAAGGATATCCTAAAAGGACGAGGGAAAGGCATATTACTGACTCAAACAGAGATCAGGGAAGAAAGTGGTATTTAAAGAAGGAGATGGGGGGGGGAGTAGATATACCACCTATTGAAAAATATACCACCAAAAGCAAAAAAAAAAATAGTGAAAAGTGAAGTGGATAGTACATGAGGAAGAGACAGGGTAGACTGAAACATAGATGACATGGAAGGGAAGAGAAGTGAGTCATTATGAAGTTGCCTAAGGTCATGAGTTGTAGGGTAAGGAGTTTGGTCATTTTCAGGTAGGTAATAAAGAGTAGAAGCCCTTTGAATAGAGGATCTTTGCTTCAAGAAGATTGGTCCATTTCTGAACTGACTGTTCACCATGGCTGGACTGCATTTCCTTCTTTCTTCTGCCACATAAAGTCCCCCTTTTCCTTTATGATGCAAATCAGGTACGATCTTCTGCATCAAGCTTCTCCTGATCCTCCAACTTCTGGCACCCTCTGTCCTAAACTACTTGTAGTCAACTTTTTAGGACAAAAATCAAAATCAAACAGTCTTAGGCTCTATCATTTCTAATGTTTGTCCATTTGTCTTTGTTTGATATTTACACATTGACTGTGGCACAAACAGAAATTACAGGACCAAGTCCATGTCTATGATCACACTCCTTTTTAAAAATCAATTTTCATTAGCATTTGTTGTTAGCATTTTCCCAAGATAGCTCATCACTGTTCCACCTCTCTTACTGGCCTCAGGTAAATGATTCCATTACCTCCTTCACTAAATAGCAACTCCAACTTCCTTCCTATATGTTAGTTTTCAGCCCTGCATTGCAGGGGTTTCAATCTTCTAAATTCTGTGGAAAAAAAAGGATCTCTTTTTTTTAGTTGGCAGCGCTGATGCAAGCTCCTGCTTCATTTAGAAACTGCAGACTGTCATTACACTCATTTATATGGTCATTTTTGAAAGGAGAAGGCAAATCAAAGAACTAAGATGCTTGACTTACCTTCCTATCCATTGTCAATTGCCCCTCTAATAATACAGTTCAATTCCAGGGAAGCTCTTCCTGTGATCCAGCTGACTTCAATCAGTCCTGTGTTAAGCCTCAGCCACAACATTTAAAATGAGGGGTTAAGGGAGCACTTACAGATGCTTGATGCTTTGACTGGTTTTATAGTAAATTCAAAGGACCTAATAAAACCAGGCCTCTTGTCTATGTTCATAACAGTCTGAGAAAGTTGGGTAAAGAATCCACAAGGACAGCAAGGGAAGAAAGCACGTTATTTGTATACATTAACATGGCCTTCTACAAGGGCAGGAAAGAGTCATCTCTGATGGACTATATGGTGCAGCAGCAAGGAAGCCGACTGTACTTTTGAATCCTTTGCAATGATCCTCTTCATCCTTCTCATTCTCTTTTTCCCTCACCCCCTTTCTTCTCCACCTCCTTTCTCTCTTTCTTTAGGACGCTTCAGAGAAAAGGCTTCAATACTTCACAAGATTGCCAAGAAGAAGTGCCAGGTGGATGATAATGAAAGGCATAATGGGACTGCCAACCATATGGGTGAGTGCAAGAGAACACACAGACTTGTATTTCTCAGGATTCTACTTAAATATTCAATGTAGCCCCAATGTGCAGCAGTGGATATCCGGAACTTTACAAGTGTCACAACTAAGCCTAGGGATCTAAGTTTCCATCTGTCTTTGTGTGAGCATGGGGTAGAAGAGTCCAAACATGTCTAAAATGTCCTCTGGATAACCCCAAGAGATGCCTAAGGAATCCTGGTAGGAGCCTGAAATGAGATTTCAATTCAATTTCATTCAACGAGCATTTTTTCTAGCAGTCTCCCTTGCCTGGAATGTTTTCCCTCCTCATTTCCACCTCTTGGCCCTCCAGGCTACCTTTAAGTCCCAACTAAAATTCCACTTTCTACAGTAAGCCTTTCCCAAACCCCCTTAATTCTTGTGCCTTCTCTCTTTTAATTATTGTCTATTTATCCTATATATAGATTGCTTGTAAATATTGTCCACCATATTTACAAAATTTATAGTATTTGCATACTTTGTTTATAAATTTACAATAGCGGCAAATTGCAAAATTTACAGTATTTAAAAATATAAAATTTACCATATTTACAAAAATTGTTTGCTTATTGTCTCCACCATTAGATTGTGAACTCCTTGAGGGTAGAGTCTTTTGACTTTTTGTATCCCTAGTCTAGCGTAGTTCCTGGAGCGCAGTATATGCTTAATACATTTTTATTGACTGACCAATTTATGAAATGCCTATATCGTGGAAGAAGGAACTGTGCTAAGTACTAAGTTTACAAAGACAAAAACTTAACAGCTCTGCCTTCATGGAGCATCTACTGAGGGAAACAAGTATATATGAGTCCAAACAATATATTTACAAAGCAAATTTAAAGTAATGAAGGGAAGGAGTGCATTAGACTCTAGTTTCTGACAGCTAACCAGAGACCATAGTGTTTCAGGAAGTCCACATAAGGATAGTTTTCCTCCAGTAGAAATGTATTCACTTAGTTAACAAGGGGACCCTTTCTAAAGGGCTTGATGAGGCCCCAGCATTTACTCTGGTGCCATTGCCTAGAGCAAATTCATTGAGTGATGAAGTACCAGCTCATAACAATATAACACACTGTCCCTGCTCACCCCCACTCCTTTCTGATGAATTCAGTGATATTACCACACTATTTCAGTCTGTTTTAGCTATGCATCGTGTGGTAACTAGATCATGACATCCCAGCATTTTAACTGGGAACGTAATGTTCCTATTCTTATAACTGTAATGCTAACATAGCTCTCAAATTCTAAACTCAAACTAAATTTATCCCAATTTCTATTTGTTTTATAAACTATCCTGTTACTAAAATTGTCATAAACAAAATGGGATACTGCTATACTTTTAGTTCTGTACGTTTATTAGGGGAGGTATAGTTTCAATGATTGTACTAGCTTCTCATTCAGATTAAATCTTTGTTCTTTCACCAAGGATCAGTCTAGTAATTGTTAAGTAATTTTTTGTTAATTGCTAAGTAAATACCAATACTGACATATAGCAATAGCCAAAAGAGTTAAATCTTATTAAATTACCCAGAAAAAAAGGTTATTTAAATTAATTTGTCTTTTCACTATGTCACTGAGCTCTCAGTTTTCACCTTCTACTGAAATCCAAGACTGCAGTGGCAGCATGGTCACAGGGAAGATGTATTTGACTAATGATCAGAAGGCCTGGAACCATCGTTTTTTCCTCTCAGCATCATGCTGCATTTGCAAAACAGACTGTTGGTACACGGAGTTAAGTGGTACTGCTCTGTAAGCCTACATTAACATAAATAAAATTCAAGGTTACAGAATTGTCATACTTAAAAAATGGACCCTGCTGATTTCCAGACAACCCAGAATGATTGTTCCCCTTGAACTCTGGAACGAACATTGGGGTCAAAGTCAATGGCTATTAGGAAGCTACTTACAGTGACCCTCAATGATGTACTGGATTCAAAGTAAATAATATATTTCCTATCCAAGGTGGAGCTTTCCATTCTCATATAAGCTGTTTCTGTATCTATTACTTACACAAAATTCCCCTTTGTCTTGATTTGAATTAGAGTCATACTTATGCGGTATGGACAAACTAGTTATCCTATAAGGTATTCAGAGAAGAGTTTGTTTTTCTAAGCCAACCTTTGTGAAAAGCTTCAGAAAGCCATCTACACATTTAGTCACCATTATTCTTAATTATCCTTTTGACCTGAAGCATTCTTCTTCCCTTTTGGAGAAAGAGTGGGAAAAAAATCTTCAGGGGGTAGAAGAGGGTCATTTATAAATTAAGTGAAGCTTCCTATATAAACCACTCTTAAATGGCTCCTTGGTACCATGCCAAAGATTATACCTGAACTAGAAAATTGTATAACTTATAGGTAGACTAAAGAAATACCTACCTTAATATATGTGAAATGCAGTATTTCAGAATGTATCAGAAGCAGGACACTCCCCTGAAGGGCCCCAAATAACTTGGACAGCAAGAGTGCCCATTCAGAATATATATGTCAGAAGACAGAGGCTACTAAAAAATAAATAGGAAAGATGAAATCCTGGCATTTTAAAAAAAAATTTTCACCTATTAGCTTTGGCTCCTACCAGCCCCCAGAGACCACCAATTCTACCAATAAAACTTTTTTCTCTTTCTCCAATAATCCTACTTCTCTTTCTGACTTCCTTCATTCTATCAGTGGAACCACTTATTCACCCAATCAACCATTTTGAAAACATTATTGTTTCCCTTTCCCTCATCCTCCATTCATTGATTATCTTTATTCTTTGTGTATGTGTGTGTGCATGCATGTGTTTCCATTTGTGAATGATGTCACAGAAAAAATAGAGCTCCCAAACAGTACAAGTGTTGAAGTGGAAGTATCACCACCCAGTGAAGGTTCAGGACCTGTACAAAATGGAAATCTCTCCCATGGCATTGAACCAACAGAAATACAGGTATGTCTCTCTTTTTCTACTTCTCTTACTCCTCTTCAATTTGAAGTCATATTATAGAATTATAGGATTTTATTTCTTCTAGACTAAGTCAATGGTCATCCCATCTTTTACCCTACCTTCCCAAGGTTGGTGCAAAATTATTGAATACAAATTTCTTTGTCTACCTTTCGTTAGTGAAAATGTCAAAACAGGCTGAGCCCCTCTCCATCTGATAGGGGAGGGTCATTTTTCTTTCTCCCCTCTCACCCTTTTTCTCCACACATGTTGATTGAAGTTAACTGCCATGTTCTGGTCCCATTCTCCAGTTAGGTTGGCAACTATCTAATCATTGTTTCATCTAGATGGTATGGTTGAAAAGTAGACACGTTTAACATTTTTTAAAAGCCTTATTAAAATAAAGGTTGGAAGGCTACATGGTACATTCTAAAGAGCGCTAGAGTCAGAGACAGAAGACCAGGAATTCAGATTCCAGCTCCAGGAAATACTATCCGTGGACATGTCACCAAACCTCTCTGGGCCTTACTTTTCTGATCTGGAACAATGGGCATGTTCACAGTTGTTATGAGAAAGGTACTTTGAAAAACCATAAAATGACATATAGTTTTAATATAACTATCATTATATTATTATTACTATTACATCTGTGGTTTCTGTCTGAATCTACAAGGCTTAAAGTGTTTCCTGGGGGACTAGCTTATAGGGGCACAGATACATCTTCACAAAGTTATACTAGTGGTAATATAGTACCTGATTTGCTTGAGAGTATTTACATAAAATCCTCTTTCCAAACTGAGAGGACTCCAGACAACATTTTAAGTAGCACTCCTGACTCTTCCACCATCATTTACTTCTGGCCCTGAGTCCTGCTGTCCTATTATAATCAACTCAAGATCTGAGTTGGCAGAATTATTTGTGTCCACATGAATAAGCAGTATGGGGCAGGAATCAGGGAACTCGAGATCTATTAGTAATGCCTCTCATTTAGACCTTTGGTGGGCTGGAACACTGTAGTTCCATGGCAGATGGCAGCCTTTTTTCCTATCAGGAAACAGTCTACTGCTATAAGAAGAGACTAATACTCTGATCTTCCCTTTTCTGGGCTGAATTACTTTAGGAAAATTTCCAATTCTTAACCCAAGTTTTTTCGTCCATAAAATGAGGGGGTGAGACTAGATGAGCTGTATTGTCCCTTCCATCTCTAAATCTATGACTCTATGGTCCTAAGAATTTAAAGAATCAGGGAAGAGAATGTGGGTGTACCAGTCTGTGGAACTGTCAACACAAGAGGCAAGATGTTATTCAACCAAGGGCCCAACTGCTGAGAGCCAGGGACCCTAGATTTTAATCTCAGCTCAGCCACTGACTAACTAGGGGAAAGTTACTTAATCTCTTTGGTTTTGCCTCTTCTTGAAAATGAGAGAGCTGTATTGGCTGACTTCTAAGTTCCCTCCCATCTCCAACATTCTTTGATTTTATGAATAACTCTGAAAGTAATTTCGAAAATGTAAAGTTCTCTGAGAATGTACAATAATATTCCTAATGATGCTATTTCATTTATTCTTCTGCCAGTGTCATTCTGCCACCTTCTGAAGTCCCCACAATACCTAGAAAAATGACTTACACATAGTGGACTTCCATTGCTTAATTTATTTGAATATGGTCAGTTTTACAAAGTTAGGTGGACTTTCCCAGATCAGTCAGTCAACAAGCATTTATTGAGCACTTACTGTGTGCCAAGCACTAGGGACTACAAAGAAAAGCAAAAATACAATCCCTGCCCTCAAGGAGTTCACATTCTAACAGGGGAAAAGACAAACAATTATGTACATACAAGATTCCATCACAATATAAATGGAAAATTATCTTAGAGGGAAGGGGAAAAGTGGGGAGGCAAAAGGAACCAGGAATGAGCTCTTGCAGAAAGTGGAGTTTAAGTTGAGTCTGGAACAAAGCCTGGGAAGCCAGGAAGCACAGGTGAGGAGAAAGAATTCCAGGGACAGCCAGTGAAAGGGCCCTGAATTAGGAGATGGAATGCCCTGTTTGAGCAACAGACAGACTACTTAGAAAGGAATAAAGTGTAAAAAGACCAGAAAGGTAGAAAGGGGCCAGGTGATCAAGAGCTTTAAAAACCAAATGGAGATTCAGACTAATGAGACTAGAATCCCGAGGCCATACAAAGCAAAGTTTCACAAAGAGTAAGTCCTGTTTACTACTTTGATTTTATATTATCTTCTTGCAGACAAAAATCAGAGGCTTAAGATATTTCTTTGACCATTTTTTTAATCTAGATAGATCTCCTTCCGCACTCATTGAGAAGGCAAGAAAAACAATACTTGTTTCATGTATGAAGTCATGCAAAACATATTTTCACATTGGCCAAAGTACAAAAAAAAAGGCAAAAAAATATATAAATAAAATTTTAAAACTACACTTCAATCTATACACAGAGTCCGTCAGTTCTCTCTCTGGAGGTAGATAACATTTTTTCATCATGAGTCCTTCGGAATTATAGATTTTTGTATTGATGAGATAGCTAAGTCTTTCATAGTTGATTATCACTGTAACAGTGCTGTTCATTTGTACAATGTTCTCCTGGTTTTGCTCACTTTACTTTGCATCAGCTCATACAAGTCTTCCCAGGTTTTTCTGAAACCATCCCCCATATCATTTCCTACAGCATAATAGTATTCCATCACAATAACATACCATAACTTATTCAGCTATTCCCCAATTGATAGGCATCTCCTCAGTTTCTAATTCTTCACTACCACAAAAAGAGTGGCTATAAATATTTTTGTATATAGTGGTCCTTTCCCTTTTTCTTTGATATTTTTGGGATACAGACCTAGTAGTTGTATTGCTGGGTCAAAGGGTATACACACTTTGATAGCCTTTGGGCATAGTTCCAAATTGTTCTCTGTAATGGTTGGACCAGCTCACAACTCCACCAATAATGCATTTAGTATACCTATTTTTCCATATCCCCTCCAGCATTTGTCATTTTCCTTTTCTATAATGTTAGCCAGTCTGACAGGTGGTACCTCATAGTTGTTTTAATTTGCATTTCTCTAATTATTAATGACTTAAGGCATTTCTTCTTATGCCTATTGATAGCTTTAATTTCTCCTTCTGAAAAGTTCCTGTTCAGATAGGATGAACTATTCTCTGTAGAGTCCATCCCATATAATTAATATGGTATTTTAAAGAACACATTTATAATTGAAATAATTTAATATTAACACCTTATGTCCTAGAATTCTCTTCATCTTCAATAGGTAATAAATCATTTTTTTTTTAAATCCAGTTTGAGACAAGCCTCTTTTGGGTGGGCCTTTTGGTTTTATATCTTACATGCTGTAAAGCTTAGAAATCATCTGATTTTTAAATTACTCAGTGCTAATTAGCTCCTGCTAGTTGCTCTGCTGATATAATCCATTTGATTATAGCAGACACAGCTGAGTTCAGCTACACCTAGGAATAAACCAACTTTACCAAATAGACTTTGCCCTGTTGATAATTCAGACAGAGAAATCTCAAAGAACTGTTCTCTTTTGCCTGGAAACTCACCGTTTTCTTGCATTTTAAAATGACTGCTCTCGTCAGCTGCCAGGCTAGTCCATATGCATTCATGTATATGAAACGATCCTGTCAAAGGACCTGCCGAGCGCTGAATTCATAGAACATCACTCCCTGACATTTTGGTGTATAATAAAAACATTTAAATATACATGGACTTGAGGGGAGGGAGGGGAGAGACAAGAGAAAGTAAAATTTCCCTCAAACTCTTTGAAATCTGAAAAAAAAAATCTAGCTTTTGAAAAATTCTATTGTACTCCTTAAGGTGAGGTTTTCCTTTAGAGTTATGGGCATATATGTATATATATATATATATACATATTTTGGTTATGTTTGTTTCATTTTTGCCTTTGAGATTCCTCTTTGCCCCTAAGGAAATCAGAGTTTCTTTGCTTTCTTCTGTAAACAGTTGCCTACACATACCTCTAGCATCCATCCAGAGGTCCCTATGGGAGGACAGAGGTTATAGAAGCCAATCACTTTTCCAGGAAAATTTTTTTAAAAAGTTCATCTAGATGAATTATCGAATTTAAGAGTTAAAAGGCATTTTAGAGGTGATCAAGTCTGGCCTCTTTGATGCCTTTTTCCTTCTTTTCTCTATTTTAACATCGCATATTGCCATTGCAGTGTTCAGCACTTCTGGTCGCCCTTTGGGAGTTTATTTCCTCATTTATTCCCTTCTAGCATTAGATTTTCTAAATGAAGTACAGTTTCTAAACTCTCTCTTCATGGAAAAAAAAAAAGAAAAGTCTCCCGGCAGCTGGGATTCTTCCTATAGGTGACCCTCAGTTATATGAAGATGGACTATATTACTTGCATTTTTAGCTGCTTTGAACATTATGAATAAATAAAAGGCAGAGAACCAGGGCTTTAGGGAGTGAAAGATTTGAAAACTATCATAGGCACTTGATGAGACAGTCCAAGAAAGGGCAAAAATAAAGTGCATAAAAGTAATTCCTCTATTGTTAGATAGGAGTCTCTGAGAAAGAACGCATTATTACAAAAGACAACACTCAAAATAGGCTATGAGAGAAAGAGATGCTTAAATGAGTTTTTCTATTAATGTGAATACAAAGTCTTAAATTGATATAATAACTTTCTTTTCTTCTGTATTCATCCATGCAAAGGTCTTACATTCCAAATCTGGGACACAAAAGCAGTTTCCTCCTTCCCTTACCCCAACCCCAACAGCCCCAGCCATTCAAAGTCTTCTGTAAATGACTATGGGGGAATAGCCCTAAGGCTTTTTTAATCCCTTAGGTTAAATTGGTTATCTGACCTCTTGGGCCATCAAGGCTTGAAGAATTTAATCTTGAGCCATCAGCCTCACTGAATTTAGTCAGGTTGTTGGGGATGTTTACCTTTGACCCTTCACTTAACACTGAATCCCAGCTGCAAGCATGATGCCTTCTGTACCTTAGCTC